GCTGCTTCGTTGCAGGTTTTCCTGCTCATGAACAGCAAGCAACACCCATCTACACAATGCAGAAGAAGCATCCCAGTGGGTTTGCATTTGCACTTTGCTAAAGACAGTGCTTTTGGGGCTGAATTTCACCTAGGGGAGGCAGCAGGAGACTGCAGTACTCAGCACCGGGCAGGATTGGGGCTGCACATCATTATGCCTCTCAGACCAGGGACCCACTTGCATAATGGCATAGGGCTGGTGACACAGGACATATGGAGCCATGCATTTCAACATACATTTTCCAAAAGCTGTTTCATACATTCCATCGTGCCGAGTAATGCGCTGGAAACGATCCAGGCTTGGGGATGTTTCTGTAAACACATCATCTCTGCCCTTCCACTGCTTTTGCTGTGAGTCGAGGGGACCTGGTGCTTCCCCCTCCTGCTGTGGGAGCTGGGGATGCTGCTAGGACCTCACTGCTCCTTTGCAGTGTAACCTTTTGTTTTCACTCTGCTTTCACAGCAGTGTTTCTTACGGTCTGTGCCTTGATTTCCTGGAAGCATCCCTTCAATTCTCCAGCTATGAAAACACCCCCACGACATCCTGCACATACAGATACATATATGCAGCACACACACAGCATTAGATTGCTGTTTTCTAGCTCTTCATTTGATTGAATTGTTACCAGAGGGAGGTGACATTTTCTCACAAAGCTTTTTCCACTGCAAAATTCAGGTTTAAAGACACCAGACTGCTCAGAAAGTGTGTATCAAACCCACCTATTGCATCAGGTAGAGAAAGCAAAATATTAGGAGATATTCTGAAATAGCTGGAGATACACCTATAGAACCAGCAAGCTGATATATGGGACGGGCTGAAAATACCAGAACTCTTAGGTTGGGATCGGTTTCTAAAGAAGAAAAAGAAAGAAAATCTTGGAATGAAACCTGGATGCTTTGTTCAAAGCCAGGCAGATGTGTTCCATCTGGGGAGGAGGAGGAGGTATTCAAAACAAGGTCTGATTGTTTTCCAGCAGTTTCTAAATTGCCAAAAAAGCCAAATCAGCATTGGTTGTTACAGTCTGGCATTCAAATCCACCCTTAGCTTTGTCTAAAACACAAAGTGGGCATTGCTTGGCACTGGAGGGCATGCAGTGATGATCTGTATAGTACAGTAAGCATGTTGCCCTTCGGGGTCTGTTTCATTAGAGCCAGAAGGAAAGGACAGAAGGAAAGGACAGAAGTGAGGGTCATGTTCCTATTTGATTCTAACCTTTCATCAATGTCTTTGATTGCATCCAGCAGAGGTGGGCATTCTGCTGCATTTTATTCTCCTGCTGTAAACATGAAATATTACTTTTAATAGATCTTTTTCCCTAGAAATAGAGGCTGAACATGTGTAATTAGAGCAACAGGCGCACGTCTGCGTTCAGGGAGACATCCCCATAAAGGCAGTTTGCATTCTGAGCAGTCTGGAGTTAAATCTGAGGGCTGGATCTATCCATCTCCTATTTTATCATGAATGCTAATTGGAGTCTGAGGGCCTTTTGATGGAAGTTACACGGAAAACACAGCGTGCACCACTTCTTCCAATTTCCAGAAAGCAATAGGCATGTGAAGTGGAGGTTGGGTTTAATTTATACTGTGAGAACCCCTCGCTGCATAATGCCTCTGTTTCCTGATATTCTTAGCAGAGTCGGAGCGTCCTTCCATGTGTGCTGGTGGAAAGGAACGATAAATCAAACACGCTTCTGGGACGACTGCAAAACCTCCGTGCAACTTGACTCACAGTCTAAAAATGTGCTTGTGGAATGGTTGTGGTTGCATCACGTAGGTGCTGCAAAGCAAACACTGATTTAGGGAACCTCCTCTCCCCATCCTTGCTTCCCTGAAGCGCACGGTCATACATTTCCTGCTCCTCTCCAGGGGCTGCTGGGTGGTGAAAGCACATCCCTGGGAGCGATGGTGCTCTCCTCTCTGCTACCACTGCAGCAAGAGGGGAACTGGAACTGGGATTAAAAAGGTTTGGTTCGGCTCCTGAGAGGAGCATAAAGAAGGGAAGGGAGAGGAGGAGCACATCTGGAGGCTGGTGCATGGCAGCGTGGCCTTCCCCTCCAGCGAGCAGCGTTTGGAGAGGAAATTGCCTCGTGGATAGCTGATACGGGTGTTTGCTCAGGGGGAGCAGTGCGCCTGGGCAGGGAAAGGAAATTCCTGGATGCCAAGTCAAATACAGTGAAAAGAAAGCAGATTCTGCAAGAAAAACTATATGCTGGAGAGAGAAGTTGAGCAGCCAGTCACTGGCTGGGCACTGGATTTGGGCATGTGGGTGGTGGTCCAATGGCTGGCATGGAGCACACCCCAGAATCCCAACATCCCAGCATCCCAACATCCCAGCATCCCAACATCCCAGCATCCCAACAACCCAATATCTCAGCATCCCAGCACTGCAGCATTCCAGTGTCCCACTGCAGCCCTTGGGCTCTGCTCGCTGCCCAGCACTGCATTCAGGAACATAAGCATGGCCATTGCATGTGGCTGGCTCCATTCTTTTCTGGTTTTGTCCATTTTAGGAGTTATCCTGCATCAGCTTCTTGATCAATAGTAAAGAAGAAAAAGAAAGGAAAAAGGCACAAATGAAAAAAAGCAAAGCAAAACATAACCAGTGTTTTCCGTGACCCTTCTCTGGCCTCTGCTTACACAAAAAAAAATCCTGGCATCCATAATGATCAGGCCTTTGATTGAACGACATTTTAATTCGGGATATATTAAAACAGCATGTTTTCAAATGAACGGTCCCAGAGCAGAAGGGGAAGAGCAAGCTCCCCAGAACCTCTCCAGCTTCAGAGTCACAAGCTGTGCCCCAGATGCCATCACAGCAGCTTTGATAGGCAGGCCCCTTGATTTAAAATAGGGTGGGGGGAGGGGGGAGGGTTGGCTAATTGAAACCACTGTGTTATGATAACCAAATGTCTTCTGCCTTTTGCATCTCCCATAGATGGCAATGCATATTGAAAAAGAAATAATAATGCCGCGTCCGTTTTCAGCGAGAGATCAAAGGCTCTCCTGGAAAGAGGAGCCCAGTTGTCCCCCCATCTGCATCTGGGCTGCAGACAGCCAGTGGTAAAGGCGACTTCATTCATCCGCAGGGCAGAGGAATGCTGTCTGGGTGCTTTGAAAAGTACAAGGGCTGGTGGAGGGAGGAAAAAGCTCTGTATATGGGGACAGGGTGGATTTATGGCCCGCATGCTGCAATGTGGTCCTGCTGGTGCACCGTGCATTTTGGCACAGCTGGTGCTGCATGACCCAGGAGGCTGAGAGTGGGCTGCAATGGGAGCAGCGGTCACCCAAAAGAGAGTCAGTAGCATGGAATGACCAAACCCAGGGTGAACAGCATCCTTAGTTGCTGCCTGCAGAAGGGTAGCCCCCAACTTCCAATACGCTCCATGAAAGCATCCTCACAGAGGTTCATCCTCTCACCCTGCCCATGGCTTCTCTCACCCTGCCCATGGCTTCTGGGCAGTTCTGACCTATTTAGCTCCAAATTAGTTTGAATTTGGACCAGAGGAGGTGGATGGAGTGAAGCTTCCTCTGCAGCTGGGGGCATCCTGCCTTGGTGTATCAAGATCACTGCAGCAAAACGTGCACCTCATGGGCTGCCCTGACATGTTGCTCTGCAGAACATCTGCAGCTGCCAGAGGGGCTCAGGGTGCCTCCCAGGATGCTGCTCCTGGAGGTACTGTGGAGGAAAAAGGGGCAGGTTTGGCTGATTTTAGAAGGCATCTAATTGCACCAGATGGTACAGGCATGTTTTATGCACTCTCCAGGGAGGATGCCCTGTGAACGTGGCTTTATTGCTTTCCTCTGCCTACCCAGCAAATCTCTGAGTGCAAGAACTCTGCTTTGTTTGCATACAATGCGATGTTGGGAAACACCTGCCCATAGCTCAGCAGACGCTCAGCCCACTTGCAAATACATTTTAAACCATAATTAAAATGACATGCCATCTTCTCCTCGTACTACACAAGCAGAAGTATGGGGTATGGCCTCCAGAAATCCAGGATAACTCAAAGCAGAGCTGGTTTGTGTGCTACATCGGGCTGTGTGCTGAATGCAGAACATAACAAAGAATAATAACAAACAACCCCAAACCTTTATTAAATGCACGGCACTGAGTGGGGACTTTTGATCAATGTTGATGAGATATTGGAAAATTCAGCCCTCGTGTTTCATCAGCTGCAGCAAAATACTTCAGCGCAGATGAACGGAGCCCAGATGGCAACTTTGGCTGCAGAGCATTTCTGCCCCAACCATATGCTGCTCAGAAGGGGAAGGGATGCAGGGTTTGATTTGAAGCTTTGGGACTTGCAGGTGCCACATGGAGCACTGTGGTGACACGGTGGGGACGTGGCACTGCTGTCCTACAGTGGGAAAAGGGCATGGCAGGGAGCCAGGGATGCACACACTGGGGCTTTGTGGGGCCACTGGTTGAGGCAGTGATGTAATTGGGCCAACAAACACACTGTTAGTGAGAGGACTTTTTGGTACTGTGGGTCGAGTTCTTCCTGCAGAAACAGGAGGATTTTCTTTTTGAGAACGTGAGAGCTGAGCAAACACCTCCAGCAGAAGCCTGTGTAAGTTTGAATCGTGTCTCATCCCTGAGATGCTGCTGTTTGCATGCAGAAATTGGCCTTCTTTCTTCCTTTCACAGCCTCATGAGACATTCTGTGGAAGGTGCCAAGCACTGGACGAGTAACATTTCCCCACTCTGCATCAGTTTAATCAACACCTGCTTGGCCAAGCAGCAGTGAGTGTGAGAAGAGGTCGAGTTGGGCTCCCGGACACATGGGGAACTGCTGAGACTCAGACTGCACACAGCAGCACAACAGTGACAAAGCTGCCTTGGTTCTGCAACCAGGAGCACTATCACAATCCCAGCTCAGAGATGAGATGGGAGGTAATAAGATGCAGGTGGAGGCTTGATAAGAGGGCACACCATAAATAGGGGCACAAGCAGCTTTAGTTCAGCTGTGTTAGGGCTAGCTCCTTGCCTCTGTTTGACTTTGCTCCTGGGTATGGTGTGCAACTTGTTGCTGGTTCCATGAGAGCTTCTCCATGATGCTCACACAGGGACACAAAGTGTGGGGGGTGGCTCCTGTCCTCCTGGCACCACGGTGCCCTGATTACAATTCCCTTCCTCAAGCAGGATCAGAGCAGGGCTTTGGAGAGTCCTACGCAGAGATCATCATCCAAGGACATGTTATCGAAGGTAACAGATGTTCAGAAATATCTCCTTTCTATCTCTATGATTTAACTGCTGCTCCAAGTGAGTTTTCCATGTTTATTTCCTTGGGGAACAGCAGCCCAGTGTCAGCCTGCATGGGGATGCAGCTCTTTGACCTCCCTTCACACTATGTGGCTTCTCCCCTTCCCACACCTGTGGCATCTCTGGGCAATGAGCACAGGGCTGGATCCATCCCACCTACCTGCTCCCTCTATCTCCCATTTCTGCAAGGCTCTGGTGGAGGCATATCCCCTGCACACCCAGTTCTGGGTATCTTTTCTGTAGCTCTTGTTTTTCCTAGATGTACACACGTTTGTCCACAGCCATTTCTGCTCCCAGTGATGTTAATTTGGCATCCTCAGTGGAAAGTTTTAGACATCTGATCAGGATCTGTGCGAGCTTCTGTGAGCTGCTTGCCAGCTGAAGGAAAATGAAAAGGCCAAAATTAAAAAGAAGCCTTTCCTTCATAAACATAAGTACTGCAAAGATAAACACTCCAGCTATTAACTGTATGTAGAGAGTTTTGGTGAATCAATAAAGCGTGGAGGTGAAAGAGTCAAGCAGAGGCAATGAAATACAAACTCTGTGATTTTCTTTTTTTCTTCTTCTTCTTTGAGTGCCCTTAGAGCCAGGCTTCAAAAAGCTGCCTCTCAATCTGCATGTCTGCTTTCCTATGTGCCACATAATCTGTTTGCTTCGGACCTGACCCAGAGTCCTTCAAGTTCTCATTGCTTGCTTGGGGCTGTGCTTGCACCCATTGCATGTGGGCACACTGGGCTGCAGCAGAGAGAAAAGCCCTGCACCAGTCATCATGCAAAACTAAGTCTGGCACCCAGCCTGTCCCCACAGTGATGCCATTGCAGGAGGAATCCATTTGCTTTCCCTGCAGCTTGGGGCTTTGGTCCCATTGCCATTCTGGGGAAGGAATCTGTAGAACAGCATCTTTTTAAAGGGTTTCTGAGTTTGTCCTTGGGCAGAGGCAGGACAAAAGGCCAACAGCTGCCCCAGCATCTCACTGTGCTGCTTGTGGGTGTGGGAGCGGATGGGAGGAGCAGTCTCAGCTTTGAGTCACCACTGACCCTTGAAGAGTTCTGCCTGTGGTGAGCCTTTGGCTAGACATGAAAAAGTCATTGCAAAATTATAGCCTTCCTCCCATCCAAGCAACAGACCTAATGCTGCTACTGCTCCTTCCTGAAGGTACCGTAGGATGAGAGCTGGGAAAAGCAGAAGGGACAAAATCCACACACTTGGTTCTCCAGCTGTTTCCAGTATGTGGGCACCTGCACAATTGGGTGAACCTAAGGGAAGTCCAGATTTCTTTCCTCTGCTGGAAAGCATGCTGTAGATTTGCTCTTAGCCCCCTATAAAGAAGGAGATGCTGTTGTGGCTCTGGCTTTGCCCACCACTTAGCTTTGCATGCACATTGCTCTCATTCCTGCCTTCTCTCCCAGGAAGCACATAGGAAGTTAGAGGGCATTGCAGGCAGCTTTCAGGGCTGTGCCTGTTATTCATGGTGCTGGGGTTTAAAGCTCTGCCCACACAAGACAGCTGGGCCAGCAGAGGAGCACAGGAGCCATGGCAATGGCAGCTCTTTGGGTGGTCTCCATCATTGCAGGACAAATTGTTTGTTCTGCATTTCCCTGTGGGAAGGAATGGGAAGGTCTGACTCAGATAAAGTTCAGCTGAGCACAAGCTGCATTTAGATGCAAAATTTCTCTTGGTTAGAGACCTGAGATAGCTGTGTTTCCTGCAGCATGTGGGGAATTGCCTATTGCTTCTCCTGCTCTTCTTCTCACTCCAATATTCCCATTTCTTTTCTCTCTACCCCTTCTTGTCCCATTCCCTTGGATTCAGCTTCCCACTTCCCTCCACTGCCAGCGTGGGATGTGAACATGGAGGGCTGGTGGGGCTCTTCCACCACTTCCTCTCTTCTTTACTTCTTTGCACTGAGGACAGAGCACATGTTTGTCATGAATGAGAAAGCATGAGTGAGAAAGCAATTTGAAGCCATGTAAAGAGTGAAACAGTCATAAATAAATCTAATCGAGCAAGCTGGAAGAAGTTATTTTGACCAGGAATGGTCAAAAATTTCTTCTTCTTTTTTTTTTTTTTTCTTATGGTTTTATTCCTTTCCAATTCCCAGGATCTCCATCTCCCAAAGTTTAAAACAACTCAAGAAAGGGCCCAGGAAGAAGTGAAATCCTCTCCAGAAGGGTCATTTGAAAGAGCGTGTTTCCATAACACTGCATTGTTACAGCATCACAAGGATTTGTCTCCTCTTCTGGCTCCAGCATGCGTATTCCTGGCTCCCATGGAGGCACTGTGGACAGCCCATGCCATATAACATGCCAAAAACATGACCTCCCCATGAACTTCAGGCCATATTTTCAAGTCTGCGCCCAGCTCCTTGCAGGCAGGGCTGTCTGGCCAATGCATTCTGGCCCTTTTGCATGGAAAATGAGCTGTGTCAGCCTTCATGGCCCGCTGACTTGCCAGCTGTGTCCCTAACAGCACTTTGCAACCTCCTCCCTCCATGCTCAACATGTTGCCTTCACCCAGCACGTGGGACAGCAACGAGGGAACTGTGAGCTCGTCCTCGGTGGCTGGGGCCCAGCTGGCCACCCCCCATCTCCCCACTGCAGCCACCACACACTCCTCAATGCAGCAGAACTCAATGTACGGCCTTTTTTTTTTTTTTTTTTTTTCTTTTCTTCCTTGGTTTTCCTGTTTCCAGAACAGTTGAATATTTTATTTGCATCGTGCCCCAGTTCCCCAGTTTCCAGCACGCAGAACAGGGCGATCTGTACCCGTCTCTTGCAGCAGCTGGTGCTTGCTTCCCTGGCAAAGCTCCAGTTAATGCTTTCTCCCCCAGCCTAAGGCACTTTATGATGATATTAATAACCAGACACTGAGGTTCAGCACTAAGGATTTCTTTAAGCTTGCTGCTCGGGGCTGTAATTGGGTTTTGTAGCCATCTCTGCTTCGCCTCATGATCCATCAGGGTTGGTGGGGGCACCTGGACCTCTTTTGGGAAGTTTCTCCATAGCTCCTTTTTCCCATAGCACCCACAGGGTCAGGGACAGAGTTGGTGCTCCCAGACCTCTTTCCTGTCTTTTTCCCTTAATGCATCAAGGGGAGATCTCTTGTTAAGTGCTTCCCTATTAACCCTATTTATGAGTCTTTTAATTAGCGTTGTCTTCTGCTAAGTAATTGCTCCAGCATTGCTCCTCTGGGGCGATGCAGACAGAGCTGCAACAGGGCACTGCAGGAGCTACATGCTGCTGTTCTGCCTTCTGGACCTGCTCCTGCTGGCCACTATGCCTTTCCTTTTGCACAGACCCCACAGTGCCAGAACAGCCCACTAAAATTTGCAAAGAAAAGCAGAGAGAAGCATCTGAAACCCCACCAGAAGCTGCAGCAGGTTGAGCTCTACCCTTACATATGTGAAACCCCCAGCTCAGCTGAATCCTACTGATGCACAGCTAACGGGGGCTTTGTAGAGGCCTTATTCAAAGCACTTAGCTTTGGGAGCACGTTTCCCCCAGCACTGAGGAGCAATGTTTCCTTTGTCAATTCAGGCTCCCCACCAATCTGCATCACCCCATGCCTGGAGGCAGTGCTCATTCCCTCAGCTGTCAACCCTTCTTTCTGCCTTGGTTGCCCACATCCTCTAATGGAGCTCACAAAGTGGTACTTTGTACCAGAGCAAGAAACAAGAGACGTGCGTTGTAACACAAGAGAGAGAGAGGGAAAAAAAAAAAAAAAAAAAGCCTCATCTCACCCCTTGTGTTTTTCCTGGAAGTGTCACTGCCCTTAATGCATCAAATAATTAGAATCACTTCTCCCCTTTTGTTTACCTTGGCCCTCGCTGCTTGCTTTGAGCGGGCCAACATAAATCCGTGCGCACCGCAGGAATTTTGGGCACAGCCCATTCTGCAGTGCTGGGTGCAGGGGGAGAGGTGGCTGCAGGAGTTTTGGTTCTGCCCCATGTGTCCCCGCTGCTGTGGGCACTGCTGGACGTGGAGCTCCTATAAAGGGGACCTCACTGCAATGCTAGAGCTCAACCAAGTGCTGGCCCTTATGGAAATCCACTGTCCTTGAGAGAAGCAGCATCAGCAGATGCTGATGATTTAATGCCAGAATTCCAGATTTGTGTTCCAAAGGTGACATGGGAGAACAGGTCCCTTGTGAACGCCGGAAAGCTGTGCTGGGTGAGGTAGCATTGCAGCATTAATCTGCATGCAGAAGAGACCAGCACCCCTTCAGCACCCCTTACAGAGACAGATGGACAGATGGACACAGTGCCAGCATCACAGCCCAGCTGGTTGCCTGACCCCAGCACTGCTCCCATGGGCTGCACATATCTCAGTGGGTTGTTAAAGAAACGGATGAGGGATTAGCTGTGCTGTAGGTAGAGACTCCATTCAGATTTGCAAATTTCAGCAAGTATGTTTTCAATAATTGGCTGGTATTTGTAAGAAATGAATAAAACCTAGGCTACTAAATCTGGTCCTTCTCTTATTATAAGGCACTTATTGCATGCTTAGAAGCATATGTCTTTAATATCTGAAGCAAAGGAAAGTAATGTATAAGGATCCCTTCTTAAACACGAATATATGCAGCCATAATCACAATTATTAGCCATCGTGAAATAGCTAACAAGCTAAAGAAGCCCCATCAGCAGCAGCTTTACAACTGGGGGTGCGTAAGAACTAAAGACAAAGGGGTGAATTTCCTTCTTAGCTGTGTGAGACTCCACAAGGCAGAGGAAGGATCAGCTTTGCTGAGGAGTGTTTGCATCTCGGAGAGGGTTCACAGATGAAGCCAATGGAGAAGGTGTGCAGGAGTGAGGCAGGCAGCTTGGAACCAGCACTGCTGCTGGTGGTTGCATTCTTCTGAAGAAAGAACACTGGAAAACTAAAACTACCTGTCACTGCTGCTGTCATCACAGAGGTATTTGCGAGAGGGTGAGCTGCAGAACTGCGTGCTGATTTATTTGTAGGGAGGGAGGTGCAGCAGGGAAATCATTGTCCGGATTCTTGGTGAGAAGAGGCACGTGGTTCTCCAAAGATTTTTGTCTGAAAACGCAATCAGCTGAAGTCAGCGCTGCGCTGAGGATCTGAGCAGAGCTCAGTGCCTGCTCAACGAGGCACTTTCATGTAAGAGGGAAGAAACGGGCCCTGGCTCTGTATATATCCCTGTTGGTCTTCCAAACACTTTGCGTTGCGTCTTCTTCCTCACTGCACCGCCCTGAAGCGCGTACAGAAAATAGGGCATCCACGATGCACAGTGAGTGCAATTAAACCATGGAACAGATTCTCCAGGGATATCACGCATCCTTGGCTGCTTGGAGGAGCCTCAGAGCGGGCTGCAGCAGCTCCTTCCCTTTGCTGGAGCAGCGCTGTGCCGCCTGGGATTTGCTCCGAACGGTCAGCTCTGCTCTGCTCCAGCTGCTCGGTGGGTTTCTCTCCAGCACATTGCTGCTTTGCACATCGTTTCAAGCCTGCAGCTGTTGTTGGGCTGTTAGTATGACCATTATTCACTTCCAATCCCTACCTCATTGCAGGGGGAAACCATCCCTGGAGATCCTCCCCTCTCTCGTCTTCGTGGCACTGACCCTCAGCCATTCTGAGTGCGATGCAGGCACCACACAGCCCCACAGGTTTCAATGCTTCTGCCACCAACTGCGACTCTGTCCACAGCCATTTGGCTTTGTTTTGTTTCTAAGTTGCTGCTCGAGCTTTCTTGGCTCACAGGCAGATTTTCCCTTCCAAGGTTTCAGTGGTGGAGGACCGTTTCTCTAATCCCCAATAGTTTGAGATTATCTCCAGCCAACAATTAATCAAAATCAGAATTTTGCACTGCTTGCTTGTGCTGCCGCATTGAGTGCATGTAAAACCCTCTGTTTCCTCTGAAGAAAAGCATTTTCTACTTTCCTACGTTACCTCTGATCCCTTTAGCTGTCAGGGCACTTGGCATCGTACCAGGATGCTAAATGGGCCAAGGGATGCCTTCAACATACCACTAAAACAGGCAAAAGCAGATTCAGGAAGGCTCAACACAAGCTGAAAGCTCATTGTTTAGGAAGCATCTCTGCTTGGGTGAGGGTTGACTCTTCTTATGGGTTTGTGTTGTGGATTTGGCACTTGGGCAGCTTTGTTTTGGTGCATGAAATACTCAACACTGAACACTGTGTCTGGGTAATAGACAAAAATTAACTGAAAGAGCTAATGGAAGCATGCATCCTTCCTCCTGTGCTGGGACCATGTAGCACCGAGTGCATTGGAAACAGCACCAGAAGTGATCTCTGACTGCTGCAGATCCCAAACCCTCAGTCAGGAGCTGCTCTGTGGGTGATCTGGATGAGCACAGCTGGATCTGCTCTGTTAGGATCCAGTGCAGATGTGTGACTGGGGAATTTTTCCCAACCACTCAGTCTTCTGATGGGGCTTCCATCAGCTGGAGCTGCCTTTCTCTTCTAGCATCTTTTCAGGCTGGAAAGAAATCACATTTCCTGAAGCAACACCAAATAGGGCAGTGGTGCTGCTTCGTCACATCCAATTTCAAGTAGCTCTTCCCCTTAAGCTGCTCACAAGCAAGCGAGGAGAATGTAACACACAACTTCTTTCAGAAACAATTCTCTCCTGCTGAGCCCTGATCTCGTGCTGTCTGTGGTTCTGTGCTCCATAGATGGCACACGGTGCCAGCTCTGCCTAGCAGCCACAAGCTGATAGGATTTGCATTTGTCCCATCACCCCGTGAGCTGTCACAGGGTGGATCCCACTCCCTCCTGGCACTTGCTGTCTGCTGAGGATTCCCGTGTTATCACTGCTGTCAACTTCCAAGCTGCGTGTTATATGGGAAGGAAAGCTGCCAGGCTGCTCTGCATGCCAGTAGGTATTCTTGGAGACAAAACACTCAGCCTGGACCCAGCACTGGTGGTTAATCTTTATTTGGTTCTCATTTCCTCAAGAACTGGATGTTTCTCTCCATCTGTCAGCTCACAAAGCTGGGTCAGACCGGCTGCATCCTCTGCTTCAAAGCAGGGACCCCAGAAGGGGTCAGCTCCCCTTGACACCAATGGGTTCTGGATTGGGCCCTAGGCAAAGGTTCTCAAGAACATGCTGCAGTTTGGGAAGTGGAGAAACAGTGGTTTAACATGGGAATAGGTGGAGAAAGAAAAATGTTATTACCAAAACTGAGCTTAAACTGAGAGTACCGCAAGGTCAAACACTGCAGCCAGTCACAAGCACAGTGTTCTTGAGGATTATGATACTAGAGTTACAGGAGACAAGATGCTTTTGTGGTAAATGGAAAACACAGCTCCAAAGAGAGAAGGAAGCTGCAGGTTAAGCTGCTGCCTCCCTGGTGCCAAGCAGTGATGCACAAGTGGGAACATCACACCCGTGGGTCAGCAGCTGGAGATCTGCAAGGCTGGGACCCCCCAGCCCCTCTTAAACCTCTCTTGAAGGATCCCACGCTGCTCTGTACCACTGTGTATACAAATATAAGTACATCCATATACTTGGCCGAGATGTATAAACTCTGCAATGGACTTTGGATGTAAGTGCAGTCTTCGCTGCTGGCTCACCGAAGAGGGTTCTCAGTTAATCACGGGTGGATTGTTGGACCAGGTGTTCTTATCCAACCTTAATGAATCTGTGATCCTATGAAAATAAAATAGACCCACTTCGCCCCTGCTGCTGTCCCCTCCAAAGCTGCCAGCCTGCTCCATCATAGGCAACACCAGGATGAGTCCCTGGGATCGTACCAGCACTTGTATTCAGTGTCAAGGAGCACAATATGGAAACTGTGCCAAAAGAGGCCCAATCTGTCACAAATGCCATCTCATCATTTTCAGCTGCTTTGAACTTCCCAGTGACATTTATTTGTGCCTCCCTTTTCTTTCTATGCCAGAACTAACTCGCATCTTGAAAAGCTCTTCTCCCCACATAGCTGTTATCCTGCAGCCCTTCCCAAATCCCCCCAGCTGTGCCTCCTCTGCTCTGCTTTGCTGGGATAAACAAGGGAAGTTCTTTGTCTGCAGGTGAGTTGTCTGCTGATCTTCTCTTTTAGGGGAAATTGGAGGGCTCCTTGTGGACCCACAGAGCCACGAATGGATGGACAGAGAGCTGCTAGACCAAGATCTGATGTGAATTAGGCAAGAGACGAGGAGTGATGGACTTGATAAGGATACCGGCTTGATGATCCTTGAGGGTCCTTCCAACTTGGGATATTGTATGATTTTATGAAAAGAACCATTTGCCCACATTGCAGCCAAGCAGCCCAGGCACGGAGCAGAAAACAGCTCAACAAAGGTCATGCAAAGAGCATCAGAACAAGTTTCAGATGTAGTCCTTTAACCAGATGGCTGCTGTCTTGTGAGCAGTGCTGCAGCACGAGCCATCATTGCCCTTGAGCCATGTTCTGTTCTCAAATAAAGTGTAGGGTGGGTGGACAACCCTGGTGGGTGACCTGGAGCTCTCCAGGTGGGAGGGCTGAGCTCCAGAAACATGGATCCAAGATGGAGCTCCCTTGGATGTGGGGACAGTGAAAAAGGCAGAGCAGAGCCCGAGGTGCCAGGGTGGCTCTGAACCCTTCTCCGAGGACATGCTCCACCTTCACATCTCACCTACGTCAGAATGACCTCATGTTCATAACAGCAGGAATTTCCAGCCGGCGCAGCCAAACCCTTTGCTGCTAAATTAAAATTTCTACCTCTCTCCGGAGAGTTATTTCTCCTCCATTCTTTTTATTAATAAATTAATAATAAAGCAGTTTGCTGGAGCGACGAGGTGGATTCGGCTCCAAGCGTGGCAGAGCGAAACAAGTACAAACATCAGCTTGTTTATATGCACGTCTGCCTGCAGAGCTGGGTACCCAGTAAGCAGAGCTCTGCTGAGGGCTTGCCAGAGCAGCTGGAAGGGGCGATGGATGCTTTTGCAGACACAGAGCCTCCTTTTCTCTGCTCATAGCATGGCACAGCTCATTCAGCGCCGGGCTCCATGGATGCAGGGCTCTGTTGCCTTGCATGGGTGGTGCAGAGCCAAAGAGTGTTTCAAGCCTGTTATATGGAAGGCAGCTCACTGCTGCTCACTGGAGAGGTTCACTTTATCCCCTCGCAGAGGGTCACACGCTGTATCTCCAAAGGTAAATCCAATCCATGACAGGCAAAGCTGATACAGGACAAAGCAAAGCTCGGTGCTGGGGTCCTAAGGATGCAGCTCAGCAAAACACCTTTTGGAAAACAAGATCTCATCCATTCTTCTTTGTGCACGGTGGTACGAAGTAATGCTTCCTGCACATGGCTTTAGTACTTACCAGCAATCAACACGTAGCACCATTCCTGCAAGGTGCCTTCAGGTTTTGCCCATTGGACAATGTAATGATTGGATTTGCTGCTACATCAACATGCATTCTCTTTTATTCGTGTCAGCAGCTGGCTGCAATGTGACTGTGATGGCAGGGAGCTCCATATACAGGCAGTGAGCTGAGGGCTGTGGCTTGGAGCAGGCCCTGAGTGCTGCACATCTGTGCAGATGCTATCAGCTCACACGTGGGCAAGGTTCCATCGGGGCAGGACACCAACAAACCATCCCACTCTCACTGTGGCTCTGGTTTCTGTTCTGTTCTGAGCTCTGATGCCAAGGGACATCACGCAGTCTTAAACACAAGTGGAAAATTGCAAAGTCTGCAATCTGTGTGTTCGGTGAGCCTGTGTGCCTCTTCATCCATTAAGCTGGGACCTGGCTGTGTAACAGCTGCACAGACCTCCAGCTGAGTGCTGATGTACAGTGCAGCCTTTCCCAAGAATTTCGGTGCTCTACAAGAGCTCCAAGCTGATTTGCACACAGGATTTCTCAGCAATGCCATGTGCAATTTGCTCCCTTTGGACCGCATGAAGCAGCTTTACTGGCACACAGGGAAGTGGCAGAGATGGGGAAGGCAAAGGAACAGACACTCCTTGAGCCTGCAGAGCTGTGGCACAGCGACAGTGCAGAGCTGACAGACATGACATGGCACTTTATGATGAATTATACATATGATGCTAGAGAGGAAAAGTTACCAGCAGTTGGCTGGGAATAAAAAAAAAAAAAACAAAACAACTCTGCATTCATTTAAACCAGAGGGACTTTGTGTCAACAGAAGTTGTATCCCTGATGTGGGAATTAGCCAGGAAAGTGCTGGCTGATCCCTCTCAGCACAGCAGTGCCTTTGGGGGATCCATCCTTTTCACATCCCAGCTACAGACCTGCCACAGAGCCCTTGCTTGCCTGCACCAGGACAGTGCAGGGCAAACCCTGCTATGCTATCCCATTGTTACCCATTGTATTGTGTTGTGCTAGCAGAGGCAAGGGGTTCCTCACTGAGAACAGGAGGTGGGAAATGTTCTCTGGATGCTCCATGCAATGCTTTGCTCCTTGCCCTGTATGGGTGACACTGGGAACCAGAGATCCGCCCAGGAGAAGCCCACAGCCAGGAGTGGAGGAAAAGGGAATGTTTTCATTCTTAGGGGGATTTTATATATTCTTTGTATGCTGATCTAAAAAAAGCCTGTATGATTTTGATGTGGGCTGGGCTGGATACTGTGGGTAATGACAGGCTGAAATCCCTGAATAACTCTGTGGAAACAGCTGGCTGAATGTTACAGCCTGAATCTGACCGAGCTTGCTGCTGGGTGATCTAGAAATGACAGACGTGCCTCTGTGTGTCTATAGAGGCTGAGTGGGAGAGAGAAGCGCAAAACCTGCTCCCACCTTGGTTTCATTCACTTGAACCTGAGTTTCAAAGCCACATTAAAGTCAAGAGGTGTGAGCTTGCTCAAACTGAAACCGACTGACAGCTGGCTGGGATCCCTGGGAAGGGGAGCCATGGGGCTGTGTGTGCTTCTCTCTGAAGCTGATGGGAAAATGTTGAAACCCGTGTCAAGGGGAATGCTCCCATTGGCTGCTGGTGGCAAAATCAGTGTATATATGCATCACCTGTGCTTGGGAGCTTGTCTGCATGTGGGCCTGATGTGATGGAAGCTCATCTAAAGCCTCGGTTAGGAAGCTGGTGCAGGTTGCTGAGGTACAGACTGAGCTCCTGAGGAGCTGTGAGGCTGTATGCAAGGAGAGGAGATGGTTTTCAGCCTAAAGAATTAATTTGTGGTGTGACCACAATTCCATGGACTAGGGACAACATGTCTTCTCCAACATTAATTAAAGATAATCCAAATGTATGGCTTCTAACTACTTGCAGAAGATGGTTTAGTACTGCTAACACCATGCAGTGTTTGAAGCTGAGAAGTTCCTTGAGGGCAGCACGAACCAGCATCCCTTCACAGCATCACTGATGGTGAGTATCTGCATGGACAGTTAATACACACAATTCTGAATCACTGAGGAGGGTTGGGCTGCCCACAGCATTAGGATGTTGTTTTGGTGCTCAGATGTTTGGAGGGTTGGTTTGCTTTCCTCTCAGCCATCCTGTGTTCCTAGCCCACAATGAATTCATCCTGGCTATTAGCAGTGATTGTCAGCTCCACCTCAAAGGTGGCTGTGGGGTGGTGGCTGCGTGCCTGCTGGGAACCAGGGCTGGTGCTGAGTTGGCACCGCTGTGTGCTGAAGTAAAAAAAAAAGCAGTGAAAGGGAATAGGGTGACACTGCTGCAGTCTGTTTGACATTGTTTGCCAAACAGGCCCTTAAAAACGGTGCTTAAAGCCTGGGGAGTTTAATTGGGGAGTGGCGTGGGGGAGAACGGAGCTGGTGGAAAATATGTGGTTAAAAAGCACTTTCCACAGCATTGCTAAATAGGTGGGATTTGAGCTCTTAAATCGGGTGCAGCTGTTGCTCATCAGGCACCTGGGGTGCTGCCCCAGCAGCTGAGCCCACAGACTCACACAACTCCCCTTACCAGCCTCAGCCACGCTCCTGTAGTGTTCTGTCCCTGTTTTATGGATTGCTGTAGTCCTGTGGCTCCTGAACTCATACTTTCCTATGGAGCAGCTTCACAGTAAATCATCATTAACCGTTACCAAACTTGCTTAGCTTCCTACTCTGATTTCATGCTGAAATAATTCCTTACTCTTTTCTGGAATTACATGAGCTTCTTGTCAGTACTTTGGCATTGCCATACTGTAATTTAAGAAAGGAAGAGGCACAGGAGATGCTTTAGAGAAACTTAGCTTTTTGTCTCAATGCAGCAAGCTGTCTCCTAGATGTGCACTTGCTGCACAAGGGCTCAGACTGATGCCTTACTGTCAGAGTCAAGATGCAGGGATGGTTGTGCTGTGCTTTGTGAAGAACTCCATGTAGCAGAGAGCGCTTCAATCTCCCCCAGCCATTCCCTGCTAATCTGTGCCATCATTAGCTTAGGAAAAAAAAGGGAAAAGAGTGAGAATAGCTTTGGAAAAAAACCCAAAAACATTTGTAGTTCCATCAGGGCTTGCATAAGTGTCACCTCGTAGTGTCTAGCCAGGAGACAGCAGTGTCTGTAGCTGAGAGCAGAAAACCCATGGGTTTGTGCTGATGCTACCAGCCCTGTGCTCACAGTGCTGCTGCTGAGAGCAGGACCCGGAGCTGGGCTCTCCCAGCATCAACTCTTTCCATTGTGGTGGGGGTTTGGGGGTGAGTTCTCTCCCCAGCAAGAGCAGCAACAACAGTCACTCTTAGAGCCTGCCAGCTGAATGGAAGAACTAATCAATCTGTCCTGCTCTGCTTGTTTAATGTTCCTCTTCTGCAGAGAAGTGAGACAGTTACTTACACTTTCCAATATGCTGGGACAGTCTTTTGGCCTCAAAATGCTCCAGAATAATGAAAAAGTCTATTTACAGTAGCAAAAGCTCAGTCTGCTCCCTCCTGGGATTAATTTACTGCGCTGGGATTTCTGAGAAGACTGTTTTCTGTCTCAGAAATAAGAGTGGCTTGGCAGCTCCTTATTAATGCCAGGTACTAAGCTTTCTCAAAGGTACCATGTGATTTATTTCTTTAACATTTTTTTGGGAACCTTATTGAGAGAGAAGGGGAAAACTAAAACCTTATTCTTCCTGTGATGGTAGAAACATGGGAGTTCTGCTCTCACACCACAGACGGGTATTGAGGGAGGGGAGCTGAGGCTGCAGGAGGGATGGGCTGCCCAAATTCTCCCACCAGCCCCAGGGTGCTCTCAGCCTGCTGGGGAAAGTCTCAGCCCCATCACCTGCAGCAGCAGGCCAGGAAACGAAGGCCCTGCCCTGGGGTTGGAGCCAGCGTATGCACAGTAATCCCTTTTGCTTTGCTTGCCTTGATGGCTGGCCAAGGTTTCAGGGAGCTGGGTTTGGACAAGGAGCTGCTGGGACAATCTCCTTAGCTTAAATTGTCATTTCAGTTTAAAGCTTTGCTTGGTTTTCCACTGGAACCCTGGGGGTTGCTCCTGCAAAATGTTCTGCTGAGTGTTTTGGCCACGCAGCAGTGCGGCTGCCACCACCATTGCCATGAAAGCTGGTTTAGGAGCAGCAGGAGCCAGCAAGCTGCTGGAAGCATCCTGGGAGGTGCTGGAGCTGCCCTGTGCTGAGACTGCTGCGTTCTGTGCCATAGCAATATGAGTTCTGTATACTGATGTTAAATGGAGAAAACAGCACAGTGAGCACCAGGCACATCCCCGTTATTTGGGACTGGCTAAATCTGTCCCTTCTGGAGGCTGCAGTGTTTATTACAGTTATTGTTTTGCTTTGCTGTTTTTTGCTGCAGAAGATTGCTTGGGAGGTTCTGGCCCTCGATGCGTGTGTTTGCTCAGCGTCGCACAGCACTGTGATCTCTGCTGCCCTACCCCATAGGATATATTTATCTCTCCCAAAAACTGGTGTTTGGAGCAGTGCCACAGGGGAGGGCTCAGCTCTGGGTGCTGGGGAGAGAGCGCTGCCCTTTCTCACATCTCAGTGCTCCGTGAGTTTCCCTGTTGTAAATCCATTCCCCGCTGCAGAGTGTCGCAATTTATTTGCCTGTGTGAAAAATGAGCAAAACCAACCGAGTGCTAAACTGAAAGGAGTACAAAGGAAACAGTTTTCCATCTTCCTGCATTCCTTTCACCCTGAATGCAGACTTTAGCCTTCCCATCCCTGTGCTGCTCTGCTTGCTATCTTGCTGCTGCATTTACATTCTTTGAGTTGAAGCTGGACTCACAGCTCCTGCTGCAGCTTTGATTCACAAAATTCCAGGCTTGCATCATTGGAGGCAGTTAAGGGAATAAGAGCAGAGATGAGATGACAAAGCCAGCTGTGTGCTGTAGTAGAAGTGCTGGGAGTTTGGTATTCCAGGTCACAACTGGGATTTCACTTCTGGATCGGGATGCCTGTTGTGGTGCACCATCCCTGGGCTGTGCAAAGGCGTTATGAGTTCCTTCATTGCAGCCTATAGATTCTGTAGCAAGACAGCTGATTTTCCATTACTGAGAGTCTCTGGACCCCAGAGGGTCCCTGAACTCAATTATTCCTAAGGCTAACCGGCTCATAAATTTCTCATTTCATTAAGTTGGTTGCTCATGGCTTAAAAACAACATCCCAGCTGTTCCTCATGTCCACCTCGGGTCTCACAAGGGGGGGGAAAAAGTAAGACCTGTCCAACAGTCCCAAGGACAAGCCATTTCCATCTGATACCTCCCCATGCATAAAGGTCTGGTAGACTCATTACGATGCTTTTGAGCCGTGAGGTGTGTATGGCCAGAAATCCTTTTTTTCTTTTTTTCCCCTCTTTGCATCAAAAGAAAGCCACGGTATGCATGAGAAATGCAAATTGCTTTGCTCGTTCTGGAAGGCAGCAGTGAAGATGATGGCCCATGTCCCACAGAGTGGGATTGCCTTGGCCCCAGCTCTCTGTGCAGTGTGTATTGTCAGCTGTAACTGCACTGTTTTCAAACCCTCTGGACAGGATAAGTGATGAAGGCAGCGAAGCCAAAAGTAATTCAGCTCTTAGGAGGCAGTTGATATACTGTGCTGTTCTTCTTCTTGCAAGAGATTTATTTTCAGTTAGCCTTATTGAATAGCCTCAAATTTCTCATGTTTAAATCTTCCTTGGTCATAAAAGAAAGCCCAAGGTGCTCTGTGCTGGTCGCAGTGTGTGCAGGCTGCCTGCAGTGTAACCAAGCAAAAATCAGACCCAGTGAAAGCTTCGTGTCTGTGGCTGTAATATTTGTGTGTGTCACACTATTACAGCTGTTAGAACTCATGGTTCCTCCAATACATGAGCTGGGAGCAGCTTCTAGAAGTTGCCTGTTGTGCCCCCCCCCAAAAGTTGTTGTGGTCATCAGGACAGCTGCACATGGGAAAGGGGCAAAAGCACCAGGGCCATGGCCCTTCTTCAGTGGGAGAAACAAAGAGTGAGTGCCCCAGGGGATGTTGTGCATAGAGAGGGCTGTTTGGAAAAGGATGTTCACAGAATTATCAAAAGCCACAAAGGTGGGGTTCTGCTGCCTTCTTGCTAACAAAGCCTGTAGATTATCTCCTGTTCATATTACTGTGCTTTAAAAGAGATGGGAGCGATGGCTGGAGAGTGCAGCTCTTCTCATCCCCAGGGCTATCAATGCCATTGCAGCATCCAGGAAACAACAGAGCCCCTGTTTAACCTCATAATGTTAACTCCATAGCATAGCATACCCAGCAAGGGGATGAATAACCCCGTGCAGCTAATTGCCTTTCAGCTTAAGCACAATGATGAAAACACGCTGTTTTATTGTGTAACCTTTGGAGTGCCTGCATGAGAAATGGTGATATTCCCACCCAGTGCTGGAGGAGCCTGCTGGGAGGTGACCACAGCCCTCCTGCCCATCGCTGGCTGTGCTGCCCTCTGCTCTTCAGTGCTTTGTTTTATATTCATTGTGCACCTCTTTAGAGTGACCAGGACAAGTTCTGTCCATCTGTCCCCGGAGTTCTGTGAAAATGGCCCAAACTTGATCCCCACTCCCCCCCCACTCATTTTTCTTGCTGTGATGCCACTGCTGTTGGCAGAGTTGCTGTCTCTGTTCTGTTGTGTGTGTTAAGCTTGCTGGGCAAAGCTCAGTTTTGTGCAGGAGTTACAATCTCAGCCTCTGAGAGGACCCACACCTGAACGAGCTGCCACACTTTGCCTTAGATGGCACCTGTGCTGGCAAGCTGTATGGTTTCTGTGAGCTGAGGTGCCCAGCCTCTCTGAGGGCTGAGCTGTGCATTGCAAGATAGGATTCCTTCTGTGCTCCAGTGACTACGAGGCTCCAGTAAAGAAGAGCAGAAAAGGATGATAAGAATGATGCATGTGTGGCTTTTATCAAGCATCACATATCAGACTTGCTGCAGCACACCAGGGAGGAAAGTTTGCAGTTAGCAGCAAATAAAACAGCCACCAGACAGAATTTTTGCCATGTCACATGGGGTAAGCATTGATTGTGAGGCTGAACCACAGGATGCAAATGGAGCATGGTGAACAACTGCTGGGATAGGAGGTTGCTCTTGCTTTCAAATAGTGCTCTGGGAGGCTAACATCCCCTCCTCTCAGCTCTTGAGAGAGCTTCCTCATAGCAGGGAGAAAGGCAGAGTGAGCTGGGCTTGTCTGTATTTAAGCCATAGGGATTTGTATGAGAGATGATGACTTTTCAGTGGGCTCTAGGCTGATATTTCCATAAACGTGTTTCCAACCTGTCTGAAGAATTTGCTCAATGGTCCATGGTTAAACTATAGACTTGAGATGTACAGATACTCAAAAGTATTTAGTTACTCATTTGGGGATGCAAAAATGCAGGCGCTGAGGAGGTCAGCATAGAGCTCTATTAGGAAACTTAACTCTCACATCTGTGATGTTCCCAGGGTTAGGACACAGCTCAGCTAAAATGCCAAAATCTGAACTTTCTGGGATGTGACTCACTGTACATGGACTATGACTGACACCTGCCTGTACCCTGGAACTTGCCCTGAATTCACCCATGGCACTTGGCACCTGAGAAGAGCCATTTCTAACCTTCTCCCTTGTCCTGCCCCAGTGCAGATAACGTGCAAAGTCAGAGGTGAAAAATTACCAGGATGTTATTCAGAGCTTTCTATGAATGATGTTGACATGTTTCAGAGCTTGCCAATAGCAAAGCGAGCAATCTGTGGGATGAACACCTGGAGGAATGTTCCATACATCTCCCGCAGCTGGGTTTTAATCTGTGCTCCAAACCAGGGAGGCAGTGCTGTGTCTCTAAATATACAGCTGAGTGGTTCTCTCAGAGTGGTTTTGCAGCCTGCTGCAGAGCTTCAGTGGCTGATCCACCAAAGAGCCAGTAAAGGGGCTGGGAATTAATTCAGGCTGCTTGTGACCGAGCTGCTGCCTTGGGGAAGGTGCTTTCCCTTGGCTGTCATGGTGAGCTCCCAGTCCAGGTGGAAGCTGGGCACGTCTTGCTGCTGGAAGTCCCCAGCCCTATCCGTGCTGCTGGATTTCTTGCTATCTGTGAGAGGCTAGACCGCTTCCTGCTGGGTTAAGGCATTAGGAGAGGCTGTGAGAGAGAAGTGGCTGGTTGATGTGCCTGCCTCTGCTGTAAGGAGCATATCACTGGCTTTAGTGGGGCAGGTGCTGTTCCTGCTGGCTGCTCGCTGTTTCCTTTCCTTCTCATCTGCAAACCTGACTTCCTTCACTCCACTCACATCTGCTTTCCACATTTGCTGCCTCCTGCTCTAGCAGAGGTCAGAGCTGCTGTAGGGAGCCCAGCCCCCTGCTCTGCCCATGGGGCCACCCAGCAGAGACCCTCCAGCAGTGGGCAATGGGGGGCTGCACTGCTGCTGCTACTGCCTAGCATGAGTGGGGAGGGATGGCAGACCCACATACAGGAACACCGTGCTGACTTCCCAGGGCTGGTTGTCCTTATTCAAATATCAGCTCTCAGCACCTGGGCCTTCTTGCATGAGACAAACCCAGCAGCCAAGCAGATGAAAAATAGTAGGAAAAAAAGTAGACAAACCCAATGAAGCCAAGTAGAAGCTCATGGGCAATAGGATTTCTTTGCCTCTATGTAGTTCTAACAGTGTATTTGTGTGTCAGTAGGCAGAGGTCAGCTGCAGACTCTTTAAGAGGAGACTTGTAACACTTTTGAGTTTTTAGCTTTGGATTAATGCACTGCTTTGTAATCGCATCCTTTTAATTGGGTGTGTTCTATGATAGGTGCTCTTGGAGAACTGAGTGAACAAGAAGCAGCTAGCAAATTCACTGAGGAGCTCTTCACACAGCTTTGTGATTTCCAATGGCACATTTAAAAAAATAAATAAATAAAAATTATTTAGCTTAGAAAAGCAGCAAGTGTTGGAGGTGCTTAGCCAAGCAGCAAACATCCTACGAGTCACTTACAGCTAATCAGAGGCAGGCAAAATTGTTGCAATGAGAAGTGATTTGGAAATTGGAATGCATTTGCATCTGTGTGCGACTCAGAAAATTGGTTTTGTTGTTTTGCTTTGGGAAGTGGGCCCCTCTGCCCTAGTCATGAAAAGCCTGTAAAAATAAGGCTTTTGGAGCAAAAGCTGCTTTCCTTCAATGATGCAGCATGCAGTGATGAATTCAAGGGTGGGCATGGCCATAACAGTTTCCTGTAGTTATTAGTCTTGTAACCAGTAACAGGGAAAGAAATATGGTTTGTGAGACTCTGCGTTGTGGAGATCCCAGCTTGCAGTAACTGCTTCTGACACGACCACAGCAATTGGCCATTTATTCCAGGGGAATGGGCTCCTGCGAGGCTCCCTCAGAGCCACTGGGATGCAGTCTTATGGACAAGTTAGCATCCATGTCTGAGTCTGGGTTTTCCTATGTTTTGTCCATTCTGTTATTGTTTCCTTCCAAAATCTTTAAATGTCTAAAGAAATAGCCTTTGTTTTGAGGGAAAATGTAGTTTTTGAGAGGTAAGAAAGGCAAAGAAAACAGGAGATGGGCACTATGACGTGATGTCAGTGATGGGACCTGCCAGTCCAAACTTGGCTGGCATACAGAAGCAGTGTCCCAAACAACCTCCTCAATGTGCAGGCAGCAGCCACTGATCCTCACGGAACAAACGCGTCCCCTTCCAACCTGAGAGACAACACAGGCTTCTTTGATTCCTCCTAATTGCATTTCAGTGTTTGTGGTCCAATTGTACTGTTTCTGCAGAAGTTCAGCAATTTTGGTTGCTGGCTTCCTCTCCGCGCTGACCTACAAATACCAGTTTTCAGGGAAAGATTTATGAGTAGCATGAAATTACCATCTTGTAAAAGCACAAATCATGGCTATAAATAGGGGTTCTGGAATATGTGCAGAAACCCTGAGGGAATGGAGACTCTTGCTTTGTCTGTGCAGGACAGCCCTGCTAACCAGGTTAAGGAGCCCGGTGCTCTGACTCTTGTAAGCTGGCACAGTGCCTACCAAGCTTCTACTAATCCCCATCCCTGCAAGGATGGAAATAACATCTGGCCAGCTGACATTGGTCAGGCTTTATAGCAACTGAGAGCTCTGAAAACTGAACCTTCTCAAGCCTCGTATGCATTTATCTTCCTTTCCAGAACATTAGTAGGCAAAGTTTGTTTTCAGTGAGTTATTTAGCAGAAAGAGGGATTAGACTGAGGGCTAGCATTGATTAACCCCTACACGTTGAGTTGTTTAACAGCATAATGGATTAGTCATGTTTGCTGGTGACCTTTTGTCAATCGAATCCCTCATCTGGAGTCTCTTCTGTCTTTCTAAATACACATATGCTTAGAAGTGGAATCTGTACTAAAATATCCCTAAAATGAATAGCTAGCTTAGCACAGCACAGGCCTAGGGTGAATAGTCCTGGAATCTCTGATCTTGCTTTGACATTGTGTGAGTTAAGCCATGGGTGCCCTGCTTCTGCAGCAGGCTGTTTAATGTTGCCCATAGAGTGGATCAAAGTGTTTGCGGGGTCCTGCCTACAAGCCACGTATGGGGCACAAGTTGTCTGACTAGAAATGCATTGCTGGAAAAGGACTGAATTTTCTATGGGATTTGGAAATTAAATACTGTAATGCTCGGTGGTGAAGCAGCCAGCTTCATTCAAAGGAAGGTGGAGCTTCATTGCCTTTAGAGCTATGTAGATTTAAATTGGCTGGGCATCTTAGGTAGATGGTATGTATTTCTACTGCTGAAGTCAGGGACTGAGGGGGTGAAAGGGGGCTCCCTAAGGCCAGGTATGACCCCAACGTGACATCTCCAACAGCAATAAGGTAATGATGACCGTTCAAGGTCTCTTCATGCTGCCAGAAGGGTATAAAGGGCCCTTATATAAATCAGCCTTGGACCCAGCAGAATGTCTGGGATGAGGAATTCTCCTCAGATCTTCCATTCTCTCAGCAGTGCCATGACAAATCTGTTATACTTGACTTTTCAAGCAAAATAAGGAGTATTCTGCCCTTGTTTTGCTGTACTATAACTCAGGTCAAGAAGCTTGCTGGGTTTGCTATAACAGATACTTTAGTTCAGACAAGACAGAATTCAGCAAAGCCCCCTGGCCTCTATGAAACTCAATCCCCTCTGGCCTCCTGATTTATGAACACAAAGCCACAGGGAAGTCTTGCCAAAAGAAAAAAGGCTGGTTGAGAGGTAAATAAAAAGCACCAGGGCAGGGAGGTGTTAGGAACCCGTTGGTGTGGGAGCCACACAGCCAGGAGGTGTCATGAGCTGCCAAGTGCTCTGCTCTCCTGGAGGGAGATCTCCCAGGGGTGTGAGAATGGGACTGCAATTGTGAGCCAATGGTAGGCATGCATGTAGCTAGGTAGCTCTGCCTGTATGCTACCTGTCCCCAACACAGTGATTTTGCTTCTTGAAAACAGTTTTTCCTGAGGCATAAAAACAATTAGGACTGATGCTCCGTTGTTCTTTATTTTCTAGATTGGATCTCCAAAGAGATGTGAGGTGCTGGTGGATTATTCTGCATGGCTGATGAAAACATGTGGCCAAAATATCTTGGATTTGTATGGAGAGGTGTCTGAGGAGGAATGGCCAGCCAACCTGAAACTTCAGATAGCTGCAAAAAGCCACCAGCACTGGAGCATATCATTCTTTATCATCCTCCTAACAGACACTGTGCTTCTGCTGGAGGAGTATTGTGGACACGTGGGTGCTGCAACCTGGAAATCCAACAGTGCTGACTCTGTCTGGTTTGCCCCAGAGTTACCCAAGCTGGAAATCTCATCAGCAGGAAGAGGGACTGCAGGCACTGTGGGGACTTGTGGCAAGGTGCTGAGAAGGTGACTTACTGGAAACACTGAACGGACAGAAGTAGAAATTAGTCATGTCAGAGACCACTCGGCAGCTGGATAGGATTCCTTGCATGATTCATCCACAAAAATGACTGCTTTGCCTGACGTTATATTTCCCCTCTTTATTTAGAGTGCAGCTTAGACTGCCATGGCTGTGGTCCGTTGTCTGGATTGCTTTTTGATGGCTGGGTGGTACGAATAGCATCCTTGGATTCTCATCATTTCTAAACCACTACTTGAACCAGGGGGAAAAAAGACAACCAAATTAAGGGCTTTGTCACTCCAGAAGACCTCAGTGGAATGAACCTGTAATCTTAGGAAATCAAAGGGGAATCTGGGGAATGTGTCATTTTTAGTGTCTTTAAGGCAGCAAAATGACAAGTGAAAATAGCCGCCTGTAAATTGTGTTTGTAGGGTTAATTGACAAGAATATTAGAGAAGGGAAAGTCTGGATGAAAGCCTCTGGGTCTGAACTGCTCTATTTCAGGGAGAGGTCTAAAGAAAGGACTGGTGCAACCAAAATGTACTGGGATGCATGGATCAGTTACTGTTCCTCAGCAGAGGAATTCATAAGTGATGCTGCTCTGTCTGTGCTGTGACCACCCGTTCTTGTGAAATTCACTCACATTTTTGCAGGATTACTGAGCTGCAGAAACCAGCAGTGGAAAAGGTCTCTGTGGTCTCTCTCAGCCCACTGATGGTGGAGTGGGACCGTTCCCAAGCATGCAGAGTTCTGTGCAGACCCATCTGATGTGATTCATGCTGTCGGATGTCTCACAGCTTCCTTTGGGAACTCTAATTGACCTCCCATAACTAGGAGGCCTTAATATACCCATCATTTCCCTTCTACCTTAGACTTTTTGCCACTTGATTTCCATCCCATTCTCGTTCAAGCCATAAACTCCAACTCCTAGGTGCTGCACCCTCCCATAGACACAAGCTGCATATTCAGGTAGAATTCAGCTGCAAGAATTATGGCAGCTTTTGCCAGTATAGAGCTCAGGAACTGCTGTGATGAAAAGGAAGCACCAACTTTGTGTGACTGCAGAGTGGATACCCATAAACGTGGATGCCATACTTGCAAAAGTAATTCCGCATCCTACGGGTTAAGATTTACAGCTTCCAGTTTCTTTTCAGCTTATATCCCAAGATTTCCAGCAATTTGTTTCAAGTTGGGGACATCCCTGGGAAGGATTCCAGCTCATCTCTGATGAAGCAAGAGGGCATCTTGAAGAATGTAATTAGCTAATTGTGGTAGGGGAAAATGAAATGCAGGCCTTTTTCTTAGTACAATACAAAGCTTGTTTATACTTAGAAGCCACCAAAGCTGATCTTTAGCAATAACAAATAACTGCATGGAATATTTGGCAAAACCAGAATGATGATCACACAAAGAGGCTGGTAACAAGGAATGACTGGTGGATGTAATCACATCTGTCCAGATCATTATTTTGGGGAATGTAAGGTAGCAGGGAGGTGGGATGCCTCATTTCTGGAAAATGAGCTACCCCAGCACAGCTGCTCATCAACATTCCTGGAATAGCAATGAGAAACAGGACGACTGCTGGGGAAAAATAAATCCCAGTGACCACCGTTAACGTGCAAAAAGAGGAGATGCATGGATTGCAAGCTGTCATCTGCTTGTTTGTGTCCCATCCATCCCCTTTCATCCCTGCACCAGAATTGTTTTCAGCATTCTCCCCAGGCACTTGGAAATAAGCACCAGTGGTCTAGATGGAAATAGCCTTGTGTGCCATTAGGGATGACCCTAGAGGCCATTGGGAATTGAGGACCTGCACACAAGCCTTGTGGCTGAGGCTCACCTCTAATCTTCAGCCATGATTATGATGGACAAACTAGAGCTCAAAACGGAGTTCTGTAGCCTGTACTCAGCAAAGCCTGTGTTAGGGTCACCCAGAGTTTGAGGAACAAAGGAATACCTCCATTATTTCTTTTTTTTGGCTCTTGTGAAGATGATAGGGTAAGTTCCAAGTCCTCATGCCTTAACGTAAAGCTTTCTGCAGCACCAAGGGTCATCTGTGAATGGAGTCTAGACAGATGATAGAGGATTTAGCCTGGGCCAGTGATCATGGATCACAGGGCATGAAGAAATGAGACATGGGGATAAGGAGAGGGAAGAGCAGCTCTCCTGTCCATCTCTCAGGCTGACACTGGATGCAGAGAGGAGCCTGATGTGGGGTGAACCAAGTTCATCCTTTGCAGGCACTGTGCTGTGATTTCTGTCCCTGTGCTTAATATCAACGCTGTTCAAACACAAGGCTTGGAGTTGTTCACGCTGAACTGAAGGCAGCAGTGCTGGAAAAAGAGGAGAAGTGGAAAGTCTGTTCACTTCATAATGCTATTTCCTCTCTTAAACAAGCCTCTTTGACTATGAAACATTTAAATGCACAAAAAACAAGCCCCACCTCGTGCTGGCTGCTCGTTCCCCTGATGGGGTTTGTCCTGGTGCCACCTCATGGCAAAAATCAGATCTGAATTTCCAACAGAATGGCTGAAGTACGGGCTGCCCAGCTCCCAGCCTTGCAAAGCCAAAGCAGGTGTTTAATGCTGGAGTGGTGCTATTTTTAATTCTTGTTTTGCAACTTGGCTTTCTGGGAGGGAAAAATCTTAACTAGGAGAAGTATTTCTAACCCTGTGTTTTGCATCTGAGTTGGGTATCTGTCACAGAAATTGAGTCTGGGAGGTGGGAGGTTGCAGGTCAGCATTGTGATTCAGCATGAAGCACTTCGAGCAGGTTGAGTTGGGGATGGATGCAACAGCCTTACATCTTCACAAAGAGTAAAGGTGCTTTATCTGATTGGAGAGGAAGGAAGGAAATTCTTTTTACAGACCGTGTGCTGCCCTTGAATAGCATTTGAAATAATTCCTGATAGCGTTTGTCTTTCCTGGTTATTCATGCAACTGCTCAAGCAGTTCTAAGGGTTTCATTTTCAGCCCGTTCTTGGCAGGCGTTCATAGGATTTAACTTATTATCAGTACAACCTGGAGTATTTCTGATTATCCCAATATTTACTTTTGAAGCATAGAATGCTTTGGAGTGCTTTGGCAGAATGCTCGTGTCTGACTGGTTTCATGGCACACGGATGATTATCAGTTTATTTTACCCGTCTATCCTGGCTCTTGTGGAAAGCTTGCCAACATCTCCCATCCTATAACCAACAGCTGAGCTCAAGATGCATTTAGCTGTAAAAATATGGTTATATAGAGCTGCCATTCCCTAGAGATATTCAGCCATCCACAACTGCTGCAGTTGCTGTTGGCTATTGGGATGTTACCCTGACTGACTGCTGGAGGGTCTGAGTTGTTGTAAACAAACCCACCTGGTGTGAAGCTGCTGGGAGCTTGCAGTACCATCCAGAAGACCCAAGCAAGTCCAAGGTAGGGGCTGGCTCTTTAAACTTGGCACGTGAATGCTGGAATTTTCCAGTTTGCTATCACAAGCTTAATGCTGTATTGCTCTGCTATTGTTGAGGAGGGGCAAACAGGTCTGTGCAAGCTTCTACATCACCTGGAAAGCAACTGAAAACTCAGACTTGTACTGTTCAGCAGAGCTCCCAGGGCAGTGTTCTCAGCTGATCTGTGAGAGCAAAGTGGCTTCACATCTGATGAGAGCTGAGATTTGGGTATTCTGGCTTGTTTTTGGAATGGGATTTTGGGAGTATTTGGAGTATGGATGTAAGTGAGGGTTGTACTGGTCTGACCTGCTTTGACTTCCTTGTCTGCAGTGCTTTCAATGTACCAGAAATCCTTCCTTTTGCTGTATGCCTCTATGAAAGGGCTGGGGATTTTAACACTTTGGCTAGCGTTCAGGTGTTAGTGGGATTTTCACTTGCATCTGGGGAAGACAAAAAGGGTCTCATTCCCAAACAATGAGCTGTTTGTGCAATCTGAAATGCCAGCAACATCTGGAGCGAGAAGACGAGGAGTGCTGGCATTTGTGTAATGGAGGCTGAAATCTATGATTCTATGAAATCAGATGCTGGTGCCCTGTGAGGGTTCCTGGGCCTCTGAGCAGGAGATGAAGCATCCATAAAAAGATTTGCAGATTGAATTACTGCTTTGTTCTGCTAATCACAACAAGAGGGGTTATGGTACAACCTGCAGGATGTGCTGTCCTTGTAGCTGCCCTAGGTCTGTGTCCACACACCTGAGATGATTTCTTTCCGTATGACTGATGGGGGAGTCAATATCTCCTTCTGTCCCATACCAGAGCCTATGGGAAGCTGTTCCTGTGAGTGTGCAGTGCTGATGGGCACTGCCATGGCTGGGCTGCACCCAGCGTGTGCTCAGCGTTGGTGTCTGCAGGGATGCACAGGTGTTATTTGTACTGCAAGAGCGTGCCTCCAGGCTCCTCCCGAATATAGAGCACAATTTTAATTTGTCTCGCCAGCCTCCTGCCACATGGTTACTCACAAGAGGTGGGTATACTGGAAGAAGCTTTCATCTGAGACGTGCCTGGGAGTGCCATTGGCACTGTGCTCACCCTATGTGTAGCTGCAGCCAGCACACACTGTGTGCCTCCCAGCTCCCGGCGTGGGGCAGCCCACGTGCCTCTCACCTCCCTGGCGAAATGGTTTCATCAGGCAATCTCCTCACGTTGCAGCTCATGCAACAGTTTTTGCAGCAATGCTGCTGGGAAGGGGAAAGCATTCAACAGGTTGAGGTGAAGGGAAGTATTTCCTATCCTTCTTTTTCACTGAACCATTAAATGATTTCCTTAGGCTGCTAGCTGAGTGCACTGGCAACATTTGCTTTTCTCTTGCTCCCTTCTGCAGATCTGGTGGGATTTGGCTTCCTGTACTCATGGGTTTTGATATGCCAGTTGATTGCAGTTGATCTCCAAGGATTTTTCATTCCAGCAGGTTAAGGATTGATGTCAAGCAAGCAGCTGGAGCTCTGTGCAAGCCCCTGTTGTACTGAATCCTCTTCTTACAGGTGTTCCAAAGAAGGAACAGGATGGATGACCCTTAAACTATGTGTTGTTCCCTCCTTATATGTAATAAGCAGAAATGGCCAGCAACTGCCCAGGTCTGTGCAGTGCTGAATGACCAAACCCATAGGCAGTGCAGGAGTCTGAGTGACAGCAATGATTTATCCACTAAAAGCAATGAAGGCCCTCAAGATGCTGCTCTGCAAAGATTGGGGAGGGCTGGAAAGCTTTGGTGTGGCTGAGGACGTGAGTCTATCAGTGAAATCACTGCTCTTTGGAACTTAGTGTGGCTCCAATTGCTGAAGTCACAAGAACAGGGACCTCTCACCTGGGTGCATGCCAGCCATGGGCATTGTTTGGATCTAAGTGGCACCGACAGCAAAGTATTGATGCTAGCGAGTGTCTTCAATGCCTTTTAGTTAAGAGAGAAGGCTGTTTGGTTGTTTTATCCTTTCTGGCTTAATGATGTGTGATCTGGGGGCTCTGCAGCATTGAGCCACCTCATCCTGCAGTGTGAGGTCCATCCTCTGCCAGGACCCTGGGGCAACTGTGGGGGGGGGGAAGGATGTGATGTGGAGGGGTCAGAGCGGCTGCTGTTTGCCCAGTGCTGTGCCAGCACTGCTGCTGTACAGTGCCAGAACGAGTGCCATTGTTTGAAGCTGATGTTTGTGCCATTTGAAGTGCCCTATGGCTCAGAGAGAGGAAGAGCAACAGGAGCAGAACCCGGGCTGGGCCCTGTGGCAAGCTGACAGCATGCACTGCTGCTGTTTTCCTGCCCTCCTTTGCAATGACTGCTTCATTTAATTTTATTTACCAAATCCTCGCATTTTGCCACTGTGTCCCCTTCCAAACCCCCCCCCCCACACACACACACCTCGGGACTGGGGATGGAGCGGGGGCAACCGGGACCGCTCCATCCCGTGTCATCTGCCAGGGAAAGGGAAGGGGGGATCGTCTGGGGGCCGGGACAGCCCGACATCCTTCAAACTTGCCGCCGGGCCGGGCGAGGGGGGCGGGCGGGGGGGCCGGGCCGGGGGCCGCTCCGCCCGGCCCTGATTTGCTGCGCGGCTCCGAGATTGACAAAGTCTCGCCTTGGGTTTAAAAGAAGAAAAGGGAAGGAGGGAGGGGGGGAAGAGAAAGAAAGTTTTCGCTGCAGGAGAAGGCAGGGGCCGGGGGGCAGCGCGGCGGAGCGGAGCGCGGAAGAGCCCCCGACAGTTCAGTGGCCGTCCCATGGCTTTATAAAGCGGCTGCTCTCGGGGGGTGGGTGGCGGGGTGGGGGGGGAGAAGAGAAAGAGAAGAAACCCCGAGCGATTTTTCTTCGCTGCTTTTTTTTTGTTGTTGTTTTTGTTTTGTTTGTTTATTTGTTTGCTTCCCATCAAATTGTCCCGAGTTGGTGCCCCGTTTTTTTGTGGACCATGGATACGCACACGCGATGGAAAAGGCGCAGTTGGATACGGAGCTGGCAGCTGCACGTCGCGCTGGTGCTGCTGGGCACCGCGGCCCTGGGCCGGGCAGGTAAGCGGCAGGACCCCCAGGGACCCCCCCCCCATCCGACCCCCCCCCCAATCCCCCAGGAGCTGCAGCGCTGAGCCGGAGCGAGGAGACGCGATGCCCTCTGGGTGGGCTTTGTGCGGTTTGTCCGTATTCGAAAGTTAAAAAAAGAAGCCCCAAAAAAGCCAAAAAACCCCACAACCCGACAGCCTGTAGCTGCTCGGGTCCGAGCGCCGTTTGTCAGGGGGCCCGAAAAAGGGGGGGAAAAAGTTAAAGCAGTTCTTTCTCCGTCTTTCTTAAAGAGGATCTGCCTGTTGCTGTGCTGCTTTTTCTTTTTCTTTTTTCTTTTTCTTTTTTTTTTTTTTTGTCTTCTTTTCTTTTTGGAGCAAAAAGTCGAGACGTGTTTCTGAAGGCTGCGGTTCGTTACGTGGCTGTGCGTGTGTCTGTATTTAATCAACTGGAAGCCTCACTTCTCGTATAGCTCTTCTCCCCGTGGGGAAGAAACTTTAGTCCAGAAGTAATCTGCTCTCCTCTCCGTGCAGATCTCATGCACGAAAGCCTGCAGACTTTACTCAGCACCTCAAGGCGCGTTTTCTGCCCTCTCCTCC